GTCCATTATTTTCATTCGAACAGGAAGGTAAAAGATTGCGATATTAGAGATTTTGTGTTAATTAAAGAAGGATTACAAAGGCGACTCTTTTTTGGGGTTCCTTGAAAGAGTCCGTCTGGAGAGTTTGAAGAAGGCTAGCAATTAGCTCGATCAAATAACCGCTTTGAAGAATTCTGGCATTGATAAGTAGTTGTATTTTTCGTTTTTGTTTCTTAATTAGTGGAATCACACACTCTTACATATTAAAACAGGTGATGACACCGTTGACCAGTGAAAGCTTGGATTTTAGATTTTACTTTTTAAACAGAAGTTTAAGGCCTCATTAGAACAGTTTTATATTTTTAATTATGCTGCTGAAGGACAACATGAACAGATTATTGAAATGTTCAGTGTTCAATGTTTAGTAGTCAATGCACCTTGCTACACCTATCTAGTTCTCAAGCATGCCTCTAGTTCTCAAGCATGTCACTTTAACTGAAAGAAACAAATATTTCAAATAAACATAAATCGAACCTGCAGTTGGATAAACCAATACCAGTTTTTCTGAGTCAGGATAAGGACAGAGTACAGAAAAAATAATTATCAGAACCTACAAGCCCCTACTTCCCCTAACCATGGTTTGACTTAGCAGAGGAGTAAGAGCCGTTTAAATTGCTTATTGAAATTTTGGATCAATATCAGTATCTGGGCAACTGCCCACCTACCCCTCCCCTAACCCAACAACAGTCAATTAATAACAAGTTAGGGTTAATGTTGGATTAGGGGAGGGGTAGGTGAGCAGTTGCCCAGGTACTGATATTGATCCGAAATTTCATTTTGTCCTGGAGATAAGGGGTGGGGGTCACCACGTGAAACAAGGCAACAGTATTTTCTTTTTGCAGTTAACCCTGTATGTGTAATGCAGATTGTCTGTAATGCATATATTTATTAATAACTACAATCCCAAGACCACAAAGCCACCTATTGTGTCGTAATGTTACTCACAAAGCCACAATTTCTTTACTTAGGCCATCCCTCTCCTGGATAACTAGGCCTCATCCTGTATGCCAAACCATGAGAATGTTGTACCCTGCTGTTGAAACATAAATCAATTGAAATAATAACCCAGCAAGGAATAAATCCTACGAAATTGTGTTTATTGACTGTAGTGTAATGTCCTGTCCATTACCAACATCCACCTAGCCCTGCATCTCCATCTTGAAAATATATTGGACAGAAGATTATCTATAATGGACCTGGGTCTAAAAACACAACAAGCAAAATTTTAAAATGTGTCATTTTACCTGACAGACATGTTTGACATGTTCCTGCCACAAGCTGCAGTAAATTAATACAATTTTAGCACCCTTTGTATTTAGAAAAAATACCTTAGTAAGTTGGTCATGATTCCCAAATATTGTTGACCACTCTCATGCTACCATTGCTCCATTTTCCTAGCATTTTAAAGATTTGTTGACTTCTTCAAGTTGGGTACCAATGCCTTCACCTTTAGATTGGTTTCCACTACTGCTCACTGATTCGTGCTGCTCAATGAAACTCTTAAGGTCCACAGGGTACAGGGTACGATCACATCTACATGGGCAATAATAAAATAAATTTTTCAACACAACAATACAGTTATTTTAATATTGCAATGAGCACCCTGATAATCTGTAAATCACTATGTTGACGTTGAAATTGTTCTTTTGATTTGAACTTGCCTGCCAGATAGTCCTTGCTGACGCATTTACCTCTGCATTTCATGCAAAAAATTTGGGGTGCACATTCGGTAAATCCACCAACACAGAGACCTCCCAAATTCGTTTAATTTCATCCTCGTACTTAGCGACGTCTTCTTTCCTCTCTTCTCCCTTTATTTTTCCCACAAAGTCGGCAAAGTGCCTGAAGCAGTCGAGTATGCTCTTCCATGTACTTAAGGGAGAAAAATCGAAAACAACTGTCGTAAAAACGAAGGAACGATGCATTACTCAAGCCTTACAACAACAGCGGTTTGGGTACACTTGTAGGGGCCTCAACAGGCCCCTTGTAAGGCCCCTTGCCATGTTGAAACTTAAACAGCACTAGAACCAGTAAAAAATATAAACAGCTCAGCAAAAAATGCGCAAATACTGAAAATAACGTGTTCTCTTTACTAACCTTAGGATTAGACCTCACAATCGCGTCTATCTCGTCGCTTGACACCGAAAAAACTCAATGATAATTGGACAGTTTGCGCTCTCTCACTTCCAAAATGGCCGCTCATTCTCCTTCTCACCGTTAGGTCAAAAAACGTCCCCGAGAATGCCGGATGGACGCTAAGAGAAACTGGAAACAACATATTTTCTTTGTGTAAAGGTCCACCATTTTTCCCTGCTAACAATAGCTTCATGACATCATGGCTGTCCTACTATACCGGGACAATTCGGACTGTTAATTGAATGTCAATATCATAAATTCATCGTGGGAGGAAATGAGATTCAAAATATCAGTGACGTCACCTGCATCGTTTCCCAAGGACCAGTGAATGGGCGGAAACTGTCTGATCAACGTACCTGTAAACGTTAAAACGTTGTCTTTAATCCTCATTCGAAAGCTGCTTTATAACGTAACAGTCCCATGGTATACGAATACTTGAATACGAGCGTGAAGTAACACATTTTTCTCATACAAAGGAAAACAAATAACCTCCACCGAAAAGAAATAAAAGAAAAAGTTAATTGATTTCGCACCGTGAAATGCAAATGATCTCAACCAACCGCATGATCAGTCATACATGAAACGAGTAAGTCGTTAATGGCAGTGGTCAATATTACTGTCTACAGCGAGACTGGGATACTATGAATCTCTGTTGAACATCTATTGAATGATAGCAACATTTGAATGTAAAGTTAAGCTTAAAGAAACTATGAAGTGTGAGAAAAACATACTTACTTCGCAGTTATGGCGATTAAACCCAAAAAAAAATTCAACTTCTTGAAAACAAAGCAAATAGTCCCAAAGGTAATCTATTGTTTGCGCTATTGTTTTCTTCTAACAAAGGACTGTATGCATAATGAAGTATGGGGCTGTGCGGAAACTTTGCCGAAATACTTATTTCTTATGTAGTAATTTATGTTCAAGAGTAATATTTCTAACAGTCAGTCGAGACGAAATTATATTTGGCTGGCTGATGGGTGAGCGTGACATGCGGACCACAGCAACCTGTCATACCTATATTGGTTTTGAATATATTAATAAATTAGTGACATAAAAGCGCGGAAAGGGCTAAGGAGACCGGTAGTGCTATGGAAGATACGTTGAGGTTGAAAACGAACCAGCTCGTTAATAAAATGGATAATAGTACTTGTAGTAGCGAACAAGAAGATGCTGCCAACCGATGTCGATGGTTTCGCATCAATTGGAAATGGTGCAAAATGGGCAGCTCTGGTCTTGGAATAGATATCTGCTTAAATCCAATGGTGTCGCTTGTGTCTGCTCAGATTATTTGGGGCTTTGTCGCTTAGTGCTTATATGATCAAACCGGAGACAGCGAATTCTACGATGGCCGAGTGGAAAACATGGATCACCGCTACCTTTATCTGGATGTACATTGATACCCAAGACGCCTGGGCTGTATTTATAATCGTTTTGCACTTCTCCAAATACGGCAACATGAAACTGGGAAAACCAAATGAAAAACCTGAATTCAACGACGCGACCTACTTCACCATGCTGTTTGCCGCTGGGTATGTTTACACCAGTTATTATTTTAGTTAGTACAATTCGAGCAATAATTCCTCATTCGAATTATTTTTGTAAAAGACGTTTTAGATGGAGCGAAACTGGTAGAACGGCTGGTGAGAACGATAATATTTCTCGCTTATCAGAACGCTGATTTTTTTATACGGTATAAAAAATATGCGAAGGATATCAAAATCTCTCCTACTTCTTTAAAATATAAAATAAGATAAAGAAGGCGATTTCATGATAATATTTCCTCAGAGTTCTCAGAGTGAAATTCCAATTATTTCATTCGCACATGCTCAGTAACACTCATAGCAAGTAAAACTACTTTCCTCGGGTTATAGTACAACTTCCCATATGAGGAAGTAAAATTACTATGATATCGTCACGCGTGATAACCTGCCACTCAACGTATCAAATGAATATAAACTATTAAAAGCATTGTTTACAGACCGCAGAAAAGTTGCGCGTTATTTATGCAGTTACACTCTCAGAGTGATTTTACGAGCCAGTCACATAGGGAAATTCCTTCATTTTCTAAAGGGCTTAGGTTGAATATGTATTATGGAAAAAGCTGTTATTTTCGTTATTTTCGAGCGGTACCGACCCGACTTAATGGTATATATTTTTTGAAAAGATAGAATGTCATAGGTTAGACTTTGAACTGCATTCGAATGAATGAACGGCTACTCTTGTAAATCAAATATTTTATAACTTTGAAGTTGATAGAAATCACATTAGTTGTACGGGATTCAGGGAATAATGTCATTTATGTTGTTACGATCAGGGACCATTTAACTGCGCCTAACTGATAACGACAAGCAATGATTTTTATAGAATCGCATAACTGAATAAAATCTCGCATTCTGATTGGTCAACGAAGGGAAGTATTTAGCGTGGAATTGAGAGTTGAAAACGAGGCTGAGTGATTTTGTTTCGCATCTAGGTAAACATAACAACCATCGTCAAAGTGTAACAATGTTTTCTACAATGTCATTTTAGAGTGTTTTCAAAACAATTTTCACCTTTTGAAGAGCCAAAAACAATCGAAAGCGTTTTTCAAAGCGAATCAGGGGTTCTTCCCTGTTTTGAAATAAAATTCAAATTCTTGGAGAGGCATAAAAAACCTCTTTCGCTCGCGAGGACGAGAAAGCGAGAAAATCCTGCTCAGAAAATGGCAAGCAAAAGTGCAACCAAACAAGACGAAGAAGGGACAACGGAAGAAGTGCCAGGGTCGATTGTCATATATATAGAGGAAGAAATAAATTAATACCTTTAATAGCGATGTTAAACTTTTAGTGCTTTCGCTTGGACACTTCATTTCTTTCAGTTTTGCCACCAAAGTGGTAAAAGTGTAAATTATTTTCCTTCTCGAGCAAATGATTTGGAAAATTTGGAAAAAGATGTTTACGATAAAAGGCTTGTAAATTCAGTGAAATACCACTATTATCCTTAAGATAGTGAGGCTTGTTTAAAAAGTTTGAAAACGAATGTAAAAAGAAGCGCAAGGTACAAATAAAGTTGTCGAAGATTCAAACGTGTACTACTAACCTTGCTTCATATTCGCTAATGCAATGACAGTTTTGACAATTGACTTTGAAATGGTTTTCTGGGGCGCACGCAGATGCGATCTACGATGTAAACAACTGAATAAATTGATTCAAAATGATTGAGTTTTTGAACTGTGTGATCACCCGTTTAATTCTATAGCTCTCAGGTGTAATCGATTTTCTTTGCAAACGAGTATTGAGTCTTCGAATGATTACATGACAGCAAAGAAAATATTCTTCGGCGATCACTGAATATGTTCTGGGTTTCGCTCCATCTCACATGCCTTTTACAAAATCGCGGTTCTTGAAATAATTCGAATGAGGAATTATTGCTGGAATTGTACTAACTGCAATAATAACTGGTGTAAACATACCCACTCAGAAATAGAATAAACCGATCTCTATGCCAGCGGCACCAGCATGGTGAAGTAGGTCGTGTCGTTGAATTCAGGTTTTTCATCCGGTTTACCCAGTTTCATGTTGCCGTATTTGGAGAAGTACAGAACTATTATATTTACAGCTCAGGCGTCTTGGGTACCAATGTACATCCAGATAAAGGTAGCGGTGATCCATGTCTTCCACTCGGCCATCATAGAATTCGCTGTCTACGGTTTGATTGTATATGCACCAAGGGACAAAGCCCCAAATAATCTGAGCAGACACAAGCGACACCACTGGATTTAAGCGGATATCTATTCCAAGACCAGAGCTGCCCATTTTGCACCATTTCCAATTGATGCGAAACCACCGACATCGGTTGGCAGCATCTTCTTGTTCGCTACTACAAGTACTATTATCCATTTTATTAACGAGTTGGTTCGTTTTCGACTTCAACGTATCTTCAATAGTACTACCGGTCTCCTTAGCCCTTTCCGCGCTTTTATGTCACTAATTTATTAATATATTCAAAACCAATATAGGTATGACAGGTTGCTGTGGTCCGCATGTGACGCCAACCATCAACCAGTCAAATCTAATTTCGTCTCGACTGACTGTCAGACATTTCACTCTTAAACAGAAATTACTACATAAGAAATAAGTATTTTTACTGGAACTCGATTTTTATCACAGATTTAAACGTGAATCTTTCATACTTTTGTGCTATTGTTCCACGTTAATTTGGTAACATATGAGAACCACTAGATTTTTCGGAGAGTAGAAATTTGGCCTTACTTGGAGAAAATTGTCTATTTTTGGGGGTTAATCGCCGTGACTGCGAAGTAAGTGTGTTTTTCTCACACTTCACCGTTTCTTTAAGCTTAAATTTACGTTCAATGATTGCTATCATTCAATAGATATTTACCAGAGATTCATAGTATCCCAGTCACGCCGTTAACAGTAATATTGTCCACTGCCATTAACGACTTACTCGTTTTTGTGTATGACCTTTATGCGTTTGGTTGAGATCATTTGCATTTCACGGCGCGAAATCATTTAACTTTTTCGTTTTTTCTTTTCGGTGGAGGTTATTTGTTTTCCTTTGTATGAAAAAATGTGTTACTTCACGCTTCATATGTATTCAAGTATTCGTATACCATGAGGATGTTACGTTGCAAAGCAGCTTTCGAACGAGGATTAAAGACAACTTTTACAGGTACGTTTATCGGACAGTTTGCGCCCATTCACTGGTCCCTGCGAAACGGTGTTAGTGCCGTCACTGATATCCTCCAACGAGGAATTTATGATATTGACATTCGATTGAAGAAGCTTACTCGTTTTAATTCCTTTTAGTTCCCTTTTTGCCTAAGCTTTTCGGTAATGTGGGGTTCTATTCGTTACATAGCCAAGCAGTCTCATCACTCGGTTTCTGAAGTCCTGAGTGCAATTTCTAATCGATACGACCGGGTGAAATATTTGGCCTACGAACGGAGTTCCTGATAGGTGCAGTTAAGCTCCAGCTGTCAATCACGAGCCTAATGTGTCATTTGAGCGTCATTCTGACATTTTGTCCTAGTGGGAGAAAAGGAACGATGGCGAGCTCTGTTTGTAAAGATATTAATTTTTATTCCGCCCTCAAGGAAGCTCTTAAGTATCTTTAGACCCGAGGGCGATAGGAGTTTTGTTTCAGATTTTATTAAGATAGTCTGTCTACTGTTAGCCTCGAAAGACAGACGTTTAGGAGCCTACAAAGGAGAATAAACATGCTGAGGAAAATTCAATTTTAAAAATTTGCTTTAGAGTTTACGATACTTCGATTCTAAATAATGAACTTGCCGACCTCAACTGAAGTTTCCAGCTATTTGGGCCATACTTGGGAACAGTAAATATAATTTTTTAGTTTTATATTTGTCCAAGGAGTACTGTTTAATAGACGACTTTGAGTTAAATCCCATAACTTTCAGAATTTTTTAAGGTAACGCTGGAACTGGAAAATCCTCTGCAACGGCCTGAAAAAATTCTGCCACTACTAGGAATCCTTCCCACGGTTTTGAGGAGCGATATTTCTTCGCCAATTTGTTCAACAGTACAACTTTTACTCTCACCAAATTAACAGGAATTTGAATTTCCCAACTGGCAAGTGACTTCTCATTTTGTGAAAATATTTCCTATTCATGACGATTTTAAGCGGGCTGATTTTAAACACCGATTTTACACAGTTATCTAGTGTTTCGTACTTTTACATATTCTTAATAATTTAAACATATACAAAATTATTTCTGAAGATCTTTCTATTGATGTCAAGAGTAATTGCCCCGTACTGCTCTCCCCTTTAAGCCCTACGAGAAATTTACCACAGGACCAAGTATTTTTTGCCGTATTTTTACGGCTGATTACAATGAATTCGAAAGATTGAGTTTGTCACATGGCAAAACTCAGGTATTTGTCGTAATGTTACGGCATTTGAACTGAAGTCCAGGTACCAGTGGCCGTCTGTTTGGAGTACCTTGTGGCTACGTTTATTTTGTGCATAATTAGCCACCTATAGTCTTGTGCTGCTCTTGACGAAGTGATGAACAGCTAAGGAAGTAGAAGGACCTGGCTGATGAAAAAGGTAAGAACTATTAGCTTTTGGATATCGATATCATCACTAATTCCAAGTGTAGTATGATCCATGCCATGTGTCATGAAGAATCATTTTTTGAAGACTGCGCTTTTCACTTTTCCAGGAAAATAAGGGATAATCAGTTATGCTTGGTATCTGTTTATTATTCCTTCTACCTTCTGGTAAGTGTACGTCCAAACAAGATAAAAGCATCTTGTATCATTTGGTTCAAACAGAACTTATTCACTGGCCCTTCTTAATACGTGATTGGCCCAGAGGTAATTGGTGAAGACAGAGAAGTCACCTAAAAGTAGTGAAAAGTATTCTTACTCATATCAAAGTTCCCTTTGGAGTAGATATTTATACTTGTAAGAACATCGCAGTTCAAAGCTCGAGACTGAGTACGTAAGGTCATCAAAATAAAATTATATGTTTCAATTTAGTAACTAATGAATACATACATGATTCTTAAGAATTCCCCTCACCCCTCTAGAAAAAAAATACAGAAAAAGATATGTCAGCCACTGAATGAGATATAAAGATACCAGCCACTGGATCAGAAAAAATTGCCAGCCACTGAATTAGGAAAATGAGTTATGATGGGTAAGATGTCGAGGCCACTGGACTGACTTCGTATTTTAAAAATCTTTGGTAAAGGATGCTCACGTTTCATGATGGTCTACTTCCGGAGAGCAGCTTCTCAGCGTTTAATGCACTCTCAGTGCAAATTTTAGCATGGAAAGTGCTTACTCCTCTGGAGCAAGAGAATCAGTGACTGATGATCTCCAGCGCTGGTCAAATTTTTATTCAATTAGTTATACACCGGCGATATCCCACATGGTTGGGAAATGGAGGTAATAACCTCACTGGCTGTTGCGGTTATAGGCTGCTGTTTTCTATATTTCAATTTGTTTTAACATTATCTTATATCATTTTGTACAAAGTAGTAGTTGAAGCTCTTCCACATGTCCAAAATTCCACCTTTGAAGATAAACCGGGGCTCTCCACAGGCCACCAAACTCCACTGCAAGTTTCAGGTAAAATTATCCTTTACAAGAATAGTTTGATGCTACTTATATTAGTCAATGTATATATAGAGAAAGAAACTCACTGAAATATGACAGATGATATAACTACCATGGTCATTACGAATGGTCATAATCATGACAAACACCAAAGTATCCTCCATCTGTAAATACATTGAGAATGATTGTTCATTTTGAGGTTGTTCGTTCAAATTAGGGAAATATCTTATTCTTTTTAAACGTGTATATTCGTACGCTTCTCACCTATAAAGTGAGCATCTGTCTTATTTCACCCACATATTCTCGGTAACTCAGTGATAGAGCCTCGGGGCACGAATTCAGATCGCGTGAGGTTTGACATCTCTTTGTACTTTACGACCACAAGGGAAAAAGCTTCGAGCTATCATTTTGAGACAACCTTTAAAACCAAAAAATGTGCGAGGAACGACTGAATTGTTGTTAAAATAACTGACACTTCAACCTATTGGAATTGGAAAAGTGTCCGCAAGTGGAGCTTCCCGTTTGCCTATTCGAATAGGGTGGATGAAGACAGGAGACCATGACACACGTGACCATAACATGACACCGCAAATGCTATGTGGGACTCTTGTCAAACGAACGGACAACTTGGCTTTCCCATAGACAAATGGAGATTTGACAAACCTGATCCCCACTGTTCTGTTGTATGGTCATATTTAAAGGTCATATTTTTGTTGATTTTCAAATTAAAGATAGAGTTTATCTTTAAAAGTCAGTTATCATGCGAGAGAGTGAAAAAAGTGAAAAAGGCAAACGACCGAAAACAGGAAAACATAGAAGTTCAAAAGGATCGGGTTTTACTTTTGTATAAGATTGGTTTAGAGCAGGGCACAAGTTTGCTACTAGTCGCAGAGTGAATTCGAAATGAAGAGGTAAACTCGATGAAACATTTTTCGAAAGCGAACCAAAGAATGTCAAGAATACAATTATAGTTGAGCCGCCTCAAAAATTGCTCTTCCTTTAGGTTTTAATAATATTCCTTATTTATTGTGCAAGACTATATCAGAAACGATGCAGCAAATCTCAAAAATGAAGTGTCTGAGGTACGAGATGTGATTGGCTCCAAGCGCGTCCCTGCTGCAGTGATGGTAAACCCTAAGGTTCAGGAAGCCGCGGTTGAAAAAGGAATCGAAGTGGCTGGAAAACTTGTGGACAAACAACTGCAGACAATTGATGATGCCCAGCGAAAGGCTGCGGATTTTCTAAAGAAGGAGGTTAGCACAAGTAACTCAGGGAAACAGCAAACA